AAGACAATACCTTCGGCACCATCTATTTATAGAGAGAGTAATAAAAGGAAACAGAAAGAATATGTTGCACATCCAATGTCTCATCACCGCTGGAAATTCAAATAAATATTACTGCACATGAGTTTCGTGCTCCAAGAATCTGAAACAGAAAGGGAACAAGCTTTGACTATTTTGTAAATGCGAGGATTTGAAGCTGAAAAATTGGATCATGAAGATCTCAATGTCATGAAGGACTACCTTTCTTGAAGTATTTGGAATCTTGACAGAAATGAAGTTGATCTACTAATATATGACATTCAACTCATGAAAACACGGGTCTTGCTTATATTTGGACAACAAAAAAAATATAGTATAGGGTGCACACGAGTACATGTAATCTTGTCCAACAACAAGCAGAATCATTTAATTGTCAATAAAAAATACCACATACAAACAGCTATTAAAAAAAATAAAAAATCACTTAACCCCCATTTTACGTGTTTAAGTATGGCTTAATTTTTTTTATTTCTCATCGACCAATTAGCCCATGATGAAGGTCAAACAGAATCTTGACAACTACACTATCATATTATTGCTCATGGCTGTTGCATTATCATATTGTCATTACCGATCGAACACGTGTTTTTTCATAATTAAGTTGTGATAATAACATTGTCATCCATGTGATTCAATTTATTTTAAGTGCTTGTTTTGTTTAGAGATGGGATGTTGCGGAAGATGACTACAACAAGGTTTTTTTTGGGCTCAGTGTATCAATCTCGACCTTACTAACACCTCCAATCAACTACCCAAAACCACACCACTTGTTCACTTCGGTTGCTACCAATTGCACCCACGAAGGACACAAAAGAGGGTGTTATTTCAGCCTTGTAAAGGCACCCACAGAAGACAGCCACAAAGGCAAGAAGAGGAGCAAAATGGTAGGGCACAAAGCTAGGATAAAACAGCCTCTTTTTGCTCTTAATCAAAGGGAAAATAACACACGTTAATGAGGAAAGGAGGCTGCATATGTATAGGCTTAGGTTAATCATATAAGTGGGCCAAAAAGATGGATTATGGGCCAACTAATATAAGCCTCCAACAAGTGAACAAACCATGAGTGTTTCCAATTAAATTGGCCACCTCAAATGGTCCCAAGTGATTTTCAAACAGAGCCATTTCATAGAGGTGTCGATAATTATTCAATCATTTGGTCAAAGTTGATTGAGAATTTCCAACAAGTAACATATCTTCGGGGATTTATTGGTCTCAAAACCCAACAATTGGATAAAACCAGAGCAGAACTACTGCACAGAATATTAAATAAGAACAAAAATGTTGGAATTGAACCGCGTTCAATTTGGTTGCTTCCAAAATTTGGTTAAGTTGTGCTTTGGTAAATGACAACTCTTTTAATCCAGCCTATTGCTGGATGTGTGACACCTGGACTGATGATGGCCGTCAGATCTGCTTCTGGATGGTTCTAATGCTTTATGCCCTTTCAGTTGGCATATCAAAAAGGAGCGTTATTCTTCTAGGATTTCAACTTCATCCATTCTCTCTCTCTCTCTGGCTGCGTCTCTTTGAATACTTTTCTTCTGTAAATCAAATCTCTGATTTGATTATATTGTGTAATATTTTGGTTCCTTTGTGGGGATATTCTGAGTAAATATCTGTGTAAAGTATTCGTGAGGCTGTGTAGTTGTTCCTGTGATTTAGTGTTTGATTATTTGTGATTCGAGTGAATCTACTGCTGTATGACTGAGAGATAAGTGTTCTTGTACTTTCTTTGTGATTGTTCTGAACATTCTTGTAACCTTGGTTGCCGATTTGGGATTTATAGTGGAACCGAGCATAATCCATAACTTGGATGCTCAA